AATAAAATTATCACAGGGTGAAAATGGAGATTTTGGGGGTTTTGGTATGGGGGTTATGGGGACAAGATGGAGGAATTTGGGCATGTCCAGCCTTTTTTCTTGGTCTCCATTTTCTGCTGTGATGGTGGCACTTTGGGATTGGTTTAGAATAGAAGTTCACTGTCTAACATAGGTGATAGGTATTGGGAATTAAGTGTAAATGCGTTATATGTAGTTTGTAGTATAAAAAGTGAAAATGTAGATTTTAGGATTTTTGGTATGGGGGTTATGGGGACAAGATGGAGGAATTTGGGCATGTCCATCCTTTCTTCTTCTTCTCCATTTTCTGCTTTGATGCTGGCACTTTGGGATTGGTTTAGAATAGAAGTTCACTGTCTAACATAGGTGATAGGTATTGGGAAGTAATTGTAAATAAAGTACAGGTAGTTTTTAGTATAAAAAACTAACAGCACCCCAAGGGCTGGAAACAATTACCAGCTTTGTGTGAGTTGTTACAAGCCACAAGAGTTTGAGCAGAATGACAGTGAATTAATCACAGGGTGAAAATGTAGAATTTTGCGGTTTTTGGAATGGGGGTTTTGGGGACAAGATGGAGGAATTTGGGCATGTCCAGCCTTTTTTCTTGGTCTCCATTTTCTGCTTTGATGCTGGCACTTTGGGATTGGTTTAGAATAGAAGTTCACTGTCTAACATAGGTGATAGGTATTGAAAGTAATTGTAAATATGTTACATGTAGTTTGTAGTATAAAAAGTGAAAATGTAGACTTTGGGGGTTTTAGTATGGGGGTTATGGGGACAAGATGGAGAAATTTGGGCATTTCTAGCCTTTCTTCTTCTCCATTTTCTGCTGTGATGGTGGCACTTTGGGATCGGTTTAGAGTAGAAGTTCACTGTCTAACATAGGTGATAGGTATTGGGAATTAAGTGTAAATATGTTATACGTAGTTTGTAGTATAAAAAGTGAAAATGTAGATTTTAGGATTTTTGGTATGGGGGTTTTGGGGACAAGATGGAGAAATTTGGGCATGTCCAGCCTTTCTTTTTCTTCTCCATTTTCTGCTGTGATGGTGGCACTTTGGGATTGGTTTAGAATAGAAGTGCAGTCTAACATAAGTGATAGGTATTGGGAATTAAGTGTAAATACATTGTACGTAGTTTGCAGTATAAAGAGTGAAAATGTAGATTAACAACCAAACTCTGAGAGGTGTCAGGGTCCCCACTGGGGCTCTCGGGGGGCAGGGAAGGGCCCTGTCGGGTACCTGCTCCTCCGTGGGGTCGGGGGGCACGTGCAGCACGTTGCGCACCAGCAGCAGGATCCTCTCGATCAGCAGCGTGTCCTCCTCCTGCCGCTGCTCCCAGTCCTGGGGGGACACGGCTGTCAGGGACCCCCACAGCCCCCCCTGGGGGTTCCTGCCAGGGAAGGANAACATCAAATAAAATAACCCAGTGCCCCCCCAGGTCCACGCTGTGCCTTTTTGTTCTGCCACTGACAGCTGGGATTCTGCAGAGCCCGAAAGAGGGGGACTGCTGCCCCAGGGATGGACAGAAGGACAGAAGGACAGAAGGACTCACTCTTGATGACCTGGCTGCTGTCCCTCACCGCCTGCTCCGGGCAGCGATCCATCTCCTGCAGTGTCCTCAGCAGCTCCTGGTACGCCTTCAGGGCCAGGTGCATCCTGGGCATGGCAGGGAGTGGGGGGTCACAGGTGCCCAGGGGGGGTCACAGGTAATTGGGGGGGTCCCAAGCACCAGAGGATCCCAAAAAGTTGAGGGTCCCTGACACTAAGGGGTGTCCCAGGTGTCTGGAGGTATCTCAAGTACTGTGAAGGTCCCAGGTCTCCAGAAGGTCCCAGACACCATGGGGAGCCTCAAGGAGAACCCCAGGTAGTGGAATTTACCACCAAAAGGTGTCCCAGGTCCCCAAAAGGTCCTAAACACCATGAGCAGCCTTAAGGAGACTCTCAGGTATTGGGATTCATCACCAAAGGGTGTCTCAAGTGCCCTGGGGTCTCCCAGGTGAAGAGAGGTCCCAGGCACTGAGGGTATCCCAGGTGTTGTGGGGGTTCCAGGTTTCCAGAAGGTTCCAGACACCATGGGAAGTCTCAAGAAGAATCTCAGGTACTGGAATTCATCACCAAAGGATGTCCCAGGTGCTCTGGGATCTCCCAACTGTCCAAGGGGTCCCAGGGTATCCCAGGAGCCCAGAAGGTCCCAAACACCATGAGGAGTCTCAAGGAGAACCCCAGGTACTGGGATTCACCACCAAAGGTGTCCCAGGTGTCCAAGGGATTCCAGGCACTGGGGGTATCTCAGTACTGTGGTGGTCCCAGGTCTCCAGAAGGTCCCAAACACCATGAGGAGTCTCAAGGAGAACCCCAGGTACTGGGATTCACCACCAAAGGATGTCCCAGGTGCTCTGGGATCTCCCAACTGTCCAAGGGGTCCCAGGGTATCCCAGGTTTCCAGAAGGTCCCAAACACCATGAGGAGTCTCAAAGAGAACCCCAGGTACTGGGATTCACCACCAAAGGATGTCCCAGCTTCCCTGGGGCATCCCAAATGCTCACCTACGGGCCCAGGTTGTTGCCTCCTTCTTGTCCATCAGTGCCATCTCATAGTAGGTGGTGAGGTTCTGCTCGATGAAGTGGAAGGCTCGGACGCCCACGGTCTCGGACACCAGCTCGGGCCGGAAGCCCTGGAGCCGGTTGAAGGCCATGAAGAAGGAGGTGGCCCACAGGTAATAGGTCTCATC